AGCACTTTATACTCTGTATTTGTATTGTATTTTGCTTCTCAAATAGGAATATCCTATCACTTCGTTTCCATCTGGCTGTTTTTTGCAAAAATATCCTTGCATGTCTAATAGCATTTCAACAAGAGAACACAAAAATATCCCCACAGTCTGAGGTCTGTTATTTACACTTGATAAATCCATACAAGATAATACAGCATCATAAAATTAGTCATCAACAGAACCTATTATACAATTCTAGATTTTGTTATAATAAGCTGTTTGTCATTAGCATGGGCAAGCCACTACCTGGTTAGAGAATCACGCAGCTTACATTTTCAAGATTATAAAAAGAAATATTAATGCATTTAGTAAGTATGTCTGGAATGTTATCTCCCCTTATCTCCCTGAGAGATACGTGCTGTATGGCAACATTTTAGGAAATGCATCAGATGGAACAGATAATATCCTGAAGCAAGGCTTTCACTGAACGTGTAATTGAACTGAATGGTTCTGTCTGTCTATGGTGACAAACCCGTAGTACAATTCAGGTAGTGAGTCAGCTGCGCTCCACCTCATTACTGGCAATGACAGATGAACAATTGCAATTCATTATTGCTTAGCGCAGGAGCACTAAGTTAACCAAGACCCTCTCAGACATACAAATCGGACATAAAGCCCCATTTCCATTCATTGTTAGACAGAAGACAAGCTCCCCAAACAAATCAGGACGCTGCCAGTCATCTTAATGTCACATGAAAAGCCTCTGATGCTTTGATGCAAATTCCTTTTGTGTAGGATATAATTATTTGGCCTTTCCTCCACGTTTTCTTGAGGGATCTAAAAATACAGGCACCATTCCTACCAATGGAAATTAAAACCACTTTATCCAATATAGGATTATAAGGGAGCCAAAGTCTATCCCAAAAAGCAATCGGCACAAGGCAGGATACACCCTGGATGGGACACCAGTCCATCACAGGGCATACAAACCTGCGCACACTCACACCAGGTCAATTTCCCCAGAAGCTGATTAACCTACCAGCATGTCTTTGGACCGTGGCAGGAAACCGGAGCACGTGGAGGAAACCCACGCAAACACAGGGAGAACATGCAGACTCCACACAGACAGCACCCCAGGAATTGAGCCCAGTGCCCCAGTGCTGTGAACAGTGCAACGCTATGCCAACTCTTGAAAATAAATTAACGCACTAAAAACCACTTCTGGTATTTTAAATTTAGCTGAGAACATTTTTAATGGGACCTCTTAAAGTGTTTGGCGTAATCCTCCAAATACATGATGTCCTTGTGTGTCTATGTTGTTTATTGTGTGGTCTTAAAAACCGAATCAAAGATTTCATAATTTGCTGCTCCTAGCTGTTAGAAATAATTGTAATCATTTATAATATAAATTCTTATAATCTGTCGCTGTTGAACATGGGCGTTCAGTGAACATGTTTAGGCATATTTTAATTAAGCTTGGTTGGGCTACGTTTCTCGGGCAAAAATAGATTTTCATTCATCTTAGCAGCCTAATAAATTATTAAAAATAAATTAATTTTAAACTGCCCAGAAATGTTTAAAATAAGGGATACCTGGCAAAATACTGCTAAGAACCACAATGCAGGCCTGTGGTGGAGATTCTGTACAATAAATGTGTAAATATTACAAAAAGCATAGGCATCCAATGCCTTATTCCTAGGCCCATTCTGTAATTCTCAACAATGAGCTAATGATATAAATGATTAAATTTGACAGCGGGGACATAGAAATCACCCATGTGCAGACACCAGCACTCTTTCAAAGTGCCCTGTACTGTACATACAGGATGTGGCCATTTGGCAGTCCTAACTGGACATGACATTATAAATCATCTTAGGCAGATCATGCCATTAACTTTATGCTTTGGTGGAAATCAAACCAGATTTGAATTCTATCAAGAGCTGTTCTTTCATATCACTGCTGTTTGCCACATGTACCCTGAATAGAATCGCATCACTGAAAGGACCTTGTATTAAAGACACACTATATTCATATCGGCAACTTTCATCACACTTTAAGTAGATCATTATAGACATACGATCTCCAACAGAGGAATGCAAATAGTATCCATCTTGTGAAAGAACACTCTCAAATGTCTTTTATTTTCTGTCTTTTCTTTACATAAAACCACAGAGGCACCTGTGTATATTTCTCCCATCCTGCTAAGGAAGGAAAACTGTGTAAAGTTTTGATTTCTGGCACTTGAGCCCCTAGAGACAACAGATACATCTGGAACAAACCTGCAGATTGAGAATCAAGTAGCTAATCACTCAGTCTGCTCAGCCAGTAGCCCCACAGAGGATAGGGGAGGAGAAGGCAGAAGAGAACTACTGTGTATCCATAACTCCTCATTAGAAGGAAAGATACATGTTCGGAAAATTGCTGGAAAAGCCGAGGATTTGTTTAATAAATCCTCAATCAAAGGATACAAAATTATTTGAGTCATAAAGATAAAGTCAAGCAAAGCAGCTGATTCTCCGAAAATCCATCTCTAATCCTTTCCTAACGAGCATTTAACTTGTTGCAGATGTAATGCAACATTTCCCAAACAGTCAAATGCTCCCCTATTTTCGAAGTAGAGGGGAAAAAATAATATTTGACAAAGTTCTCTAAAAAGATTTATTTTTCTTCTTGTGGAAACCACCAGAAGGCACAGACTGAACAGGGGACATGAAGGTAAGCCAATTAAGCAGCAGAGAACTGATGTTATGAAGCAAGGTCTAAACTTTTAAACTCCAAGACTCAAACCACATGGGAACAATGATATGTGTGGTTTTCCTCATCATGCTGCGCTTGCACTGTAAAAAGGGATGGCAACGTGAACGTTTCGGAATAGCTTTGGGACAAAAGAAGGAAAAGCATAGGGACAATATTAGTACTAGTAGGTGGATGCTGCACATTGGTGGTGGTGGAGGGGATCCCCATTACCTGTAAAGCACTTTGAGTGGAGTGTCCAGAAAAGCGATATATAATTGTAATAATAAGCAATTAATAATAATAATAATAATAATAATAATAAGCAATTATTATTATTATTAAAGCAATCTGTGAAGGAATAAAATGGTTATTTAGACATGATGCAGTACTCTAAAGAAAGGTGAGGGAGGAGGATTATTTTTCCTGGTTTATAATGATCCTTAACTCCCCACCAGACTAAAACTAATTCATTTAAATGAGAAAGGAAAATAGCAGTTTCTCAGCTCATGCAGCATCTCCCAATCCTGCTTGACATTTACTGTACAGTACATCACAGAAATGTTAAGAGATCAGCTTGAGCAGAGAGGGAAACAGAAAATTCCGACCAGTACAGATATGCTCCCGGAAGATGATTTCAATAGACAAAGCAAAAATTTCATGAAAGTCATATACTGTACATACTGCTAAAGCTAAAAACCAGAATGCCTGGAGTTCATGCATCTGTGACTTCTGTGAGGCATACTGTATATGCAGGATGTGAGAGTCGCTTGTGTTAACTGTAAAACATGTCATCTTTATGTTTTCTATTGAGAAAAAGAGGCGCAGAGAGACAGTGCGTGTGTCTAATATATCAGATGTTGGCACGGGTTTTATTTTGTGCACAAATGGCATTGCAACAATTACCATGCATTAACAGGGCAATGCATCACAATATGCCAAGTCCATAACATATCCTGGAATTCATCTTGCCAAACTGTCTCATGTCTGCCCTCGGTAATTTACTTAAGGTTCAGGAGCCAGCTCCCACAAGACGTATTGAGACTGAAAAGGGCACGCTGATTTTCCACTGATGCTGGAAAGATCTTTCGTGTCCGCCCCTTTTTAAATGACAACAGCGCCATCATGTGGCCTTGACTGTGCACAACCAAAGGACTGCAAACCCGTCATTCGCGTCAAAATATTCGTCTCCCAGCTGCGGGGTGCAGCCCCAAAAATATAGATATCGCCCACAGACTAGGCATTTAACAACAAAGCGAAGAGTCAAATTCAGGTACAATATTTCAGTGCAACAGTTCTGCCCCCACAGCATTTTTTACATGATAAACCTGTAACTGTTGTGAAAAGAAAGGCATGGTTGCATTCTTTTACAGTAGCACTTTTATAAAGCATACCACAATTTCCCCATTTATTCAACGTATGCAGTTTTTTAACCAGTTTTATTTTTACTCAAAGATGCACCCACCAAACTTGTCAAGATGATGTCTAATTCACCTTCTGCTTACTAATTTTACAGTTCAACAGTACAACAGCCATTCGTTTTGTTTTGTTTTTTTTTGCTCTGTGTCTTGGATGATGGACTTTTTGTCTTTGTTTATTGCTATGAAGTGCTATAAATAGAAATCTACACTTCTTCTGGGCATGGTTTGGAAAATGAATGCTGGAATTGAAGCCTGACGAGCCCTGTAACCTTCCTTAACCATGCAGCCCACTTTATCCAGACTCCTAACAGAATGTGCTAACAAGGGTGGACATTTAACTAGGAGCAGTGTGAAAGGACCTGAAGGAAGAAGCTCTCGAGGGATTCAGCCTGTGAAATACTCACTCAAGTCTCCCGGGAAAAGGTTAATTGATTCTAACAGCTTTTCAGAATTCTGAAAGGAAAACATATGTATTGCAGCTGTGACCCTTCCATTCAGTTCTAAAGCAGAGATCAGCAAGTACGAAAGGCACCTGTTGATGCTTTAAAAGAAGGACTTGGGTCCCTGTTAATTAAACTATTATGATTGCAGGCATTGCAAAGGTTTCTGATACTCCAAATTTATATTTAGGATTAGGAGCATCATATTAAACCTTCATTACTGCCTTTCCACAAATAATATTTTTTTCAACTCTATATATTACCATTGATAGTATACATTTCTCCACTCAACCTATACCAGGCTATTGCAAGCACACATTAAAGATTCCCCTGCCAATATCCAGCACTATTTCAAGTACATTGCAAGACAGCACAAGCATGGCACTATAACTGAGCCGACATGCAGTCTTTAACCAGCAGCTCTTACCTTATCGTTTGCCTCAATCAGGTGAGGGAGCCAGTCAATATATATTTTTTCAGTTCTTCTTACAAGTGACAAACGAGCAGAAACAAAAGGAGAGCTGGTGCTCTCCCTCACTCTCTCTCTCTCCCTCTCTCTCTCTCTCCCCCTCTCTCTCCCTCTGCCTTTTTTATTGCTTGTCAGTGATGTTGTCCCTGTATGTCGTGGTGAAAATGTCAGCTGGCAGCACCTCTCCGAAAACACCAGTTCCCCACACGCGCCCCCCCAAGGAACCGAAGGAAAGATAGAACAGTGGCAGCAACCCAGATGAGAATCAGCAACATGTGGTTATAAGAAGTATCTTTCGCTCTCTCTTGTGACTGGAGTTGGAAAAGCTTCCCTTAATGAGAAGACAGTTCTATATCAGAGAGTACCCCATTCAGGAATCCTTTTTGACAGTTAGGGATACAGGCAGAAGTTAATGCAACACCAGGCATAGAAAAAAAAAAAGATGTGGGAGAAAACACGTCTGGGTTCCAGCGAGTGTGATATCACCCTCCTCCTCTCTCTCTCTCTCTTTCTCTCTCTCTCCCTCTGCTTGATTCTAAAGCCCCCAGTGTCGCCGGGCAGGGCTTGCGAGACATGAGAAGTGGGCAAGGTACTGCACATCCGTGACCATCATTAGTCTCTTCCATCTGTTTTGTTGTGGTGGAGGTAACCATGACGATCGATATCTAGCCCTGCTGGCTTCTTCCTTGAAGGACATGAGATTGAAAAAAAGAAGAAGGAAAAAAAATGGCTTAACCAGAATCTCAGCATCCACTCCACAATTAAATTAATTTCTGCTGCCTGGAAACCTCTTTCTTCCTGTCTCTCTCTCCCCCTCCTGTGCAGATGCAGAACCTGTTTCCCACCACTGATGAAGGTCTGAGCCTCCTGTTTGTCAATTTCATCCGTGATTCCTGCTCTGCCCTCTTTTTTTTATCTGAGTAGCTACAGAACGTGCCAAATCTCCTACTTGCAAGACAAGAGGAAAGTGATATCTGTGTGCTAAATAAAAAAGGTACATTTTTCCCCATTGTTGATAAATGCTACAAAGAGTCCTGTTGAAGATGCCACAGACCTAGGATTTAGGATGCCCATTTTTAGATTCAAGAAAACGGGGCATCTTTTGTTGTTGTTACTTATTTCCTATAAATAATAGATTTCTTGCTTATTAGGTATAACTCAACATTTTCCCAGATTGTAAGGTATGACTGATTACTGATGCCAGTTAAACTCACTGCTCTGCAGCCTATAAAGGTTATGTTTTCTAGTATTTGGTCCATCCATCCATTTTTCTATCTGCTTCTTTCAATTCAGGGTCACAGGGTCACAGGGGACCAACAAGCAGGGGGCACAAGGCAGGGTACATCCTGGAAGGGATGCCAGTCCGTTGCAGGGCAGACACATACAGGTAGGCATGTGCACACTCACACCAGGGCCAGTTTTCCCAGAAGCCAATTAACCTGGCAGCATGTTTTTGGACTGGGGGAGGAAAGCAGAGCTTTCCTTGAGAAAACCCACACAAACGTGAGGAGGAGCTCCCCAGTCCTGGAAGAGAAACCAGGGCTCCATCACTGTGCTAACCACTGCGCCGTCACGCCACCCTCGATATTAGATATGCCTTCCTAAAATGAAATATTAAATCATTCTCTATAAGTGCAGTAACAGTAATCTGTGTGCTCCTATACCTCTCATGTTCCCCCTACTCATCTTCTGCTGGTCAGCTTACTCTCCTACCTCCTTTTCACCATCCATTCTCCTCTTCTGTCCCCTTGTAGTGTAAATCCTATGAGATATTACTCTGACACAACCTGCAAAGCAGTATCACCGGCACCACACTAATTCACACCACCCACTACAGAAGATGAGCTCATAAGCACCTTTTGTTCAACTTTGTAGTGTTGCCTGCTTGCACCACAAGCATATTGTATTTTAACTGTAGCTGTCAAATGCACTCCTCGCACTGTGCAGCTTTGAGTTAGCATTTATGCGACGCAGAATGCGAGACCTAAAACATTTGTATCATGTTAGTTTATGAAGGCTAATCAAAAGCTGAAAGGCAGTCAAAGCACAATGGCACTTTTTCGAATCAAATCGCTCTCTAAAGGAGCATTTACAGACTGCTTTGGTGTTTGTAAAAAAAAAAAGACTCTATCAAGCATTGTTTCTGCATTGGTGAAGGGTGTGTAACAGACCGGCGCACACATTTTGTGAAATGCCGTTCGGTGTACGAGGAAATCATGTAATATATTATAAGACCTTGTCAATGCATTGTGTCGTTCATCTGCAAAGTGCCCCCACTGATGTCTGCAATCAGGCACAGTGCATTATGAATTCTGGTTTGTTTACTGCTGTTGCTTGTGCATTAATTCAATGTTCACTCCGCAATCCGATTTGGTCTAATCAACTATTTTAGGATAACTGGTAATATTTGTGATTGTCCCCGCAGTAAGGCAGGACCAAAATGGGTGTCCTGAGTTATTTACCATTCCACTGCAAAACAGAAATATGCGGCAAAGAATTACTTGTTGTGATGAAGCCTTATTCATCAGCAGTGACATGCATAGATCATTTTCTCTGATGAATCAAGGTTTCATTTGAACTTGGCAGGGACTGACGCATGCAGGTCTGTATTGCTGAATAAGATTAGTGCGGTCGGGGAGGAGTGACAGTGTAGTTAGTGAATCAGAACTGTGTCGTACAGGACAGTGTCACTCTCCAAGGATATGGGGACATTTTGGGACCACTTTTCCACTGTTAGTACAAGACGTAGGCACCTGCCGTTCATTTTCAATATATTTTTTCCGTCACTATACTGGGACATTAGGACCCACATGGACTGCAGGGTGAGCGCCCCCTGCTGGCCCTACTAACACCTCTTCCAGTTTTTCCCAGGAGTCTCCCATCCAGGTACTGACCAGGCTCACACCTGCTGAGCTTCAGTGGGGCTGCCAGTGGTGAGATGCAGGGTGATATGGCTGCTGGCATAAGTACTGCCAGTATTACTCCTGTGGCTTACAGATCTTCGGTATGTGCTATAAATTTACTTTCAGTGGTTAATGTGCTCATAAGCAAGCCCTTCCTTCATGATGCTTTCAAACAAGGCAATAAAAATGAATCAGATTCTCCACAGCAGGAGAATTCACTTGCCTCTTCTACCCATCTGCCCTTTCCACAGGGGAGTCTTTATACTGAGTCACTGTGAAGAATAACTCCACAGAAACCATTCAGGAAACCTTTATCCAATACAGGATCACTCACAATCTGTTTGCATTCAGATTTCAGCTGCAATCTTCTCTCACTTGTTCTTTTCCACTCCCCAGATTGTGAAATATTATTGTGGTAACTGCAGGATCAATAGCAGCTGCAATAGAAATGGTAGCAGTATAATAATTATTAGTAGAATTGTAAAGACTGCCGCAATCTGTAGAAATAGTAGCTGTCAGATGATTGTCATATGTCCAGTATTTAAAATTGTTTTTAAAGCTTGTTACTTTTCTAATTTAAGCAGCTTAGGTTTGGTCTATCCTGCTTATAAACTATAAACTATAAACTATAAACTATAAACTATAAACTATAAACTATAAACTATAAAAGAGGCAGGGAATTCTGAAAACTTCTGTGTGTGATAAATACCCTTAGAAAAGAAGATTGTAGACAAGAGAGTGATAATAACTGACACAGCCTGACCTCCTTAATGAATTACCTAATATAAAGTTTCAAAACATACCAGTCTTGTCCGTTCCCAAACCCCTTCCCCAACGAAGAAGGTGCTTTACATAGGAGTGGAACCAAGGACCACAACTAGAATAAAAAATGTTATTTCTTCATTATCACAAAAGGCAAAAGTTCATGTATATTCCAGGATGCTTTTGAATAGATCATAATGGAAACAAGGTGATGTATTTTGCCATAAGTTATGATTTAGAACGTAAAAAATATCTATTTTAATTTTTTGTCACATCTATTTCTAAGGCTTTTTTTAAAAAAAGATACAGTACATATGTTTTACACACTCTCTTCAGTGTGGCAGTGCGTGTCAATGGCTTACTCATGAGGAACTCAAAGCCACAAAGCTCTGCTCCTCAGGCAGAGAAGAAAAGACCTGTCACCTTGGACCAGTTCAAGTCTACATTCCAATGGAGAGACATCACATTCTGTAATAGGCTTGTACCAAATGAAGACTGCTACAGGTGTCATGTTTTATCCTGAAAGCTCTGCAATATAGCTTGGCAACCTATTCAATGAATAAATTCACATTTGTCTGTAAAATGTGTTTTGTGGCATTAGTACAGAGTCACATCTTTCTAATTTTCACCTGATTTCCTGTCTCATTTTCAGTATTTCACCACTACACAAACCTAATAAGGAAAACTCAGATAAGCAAATGAACCTTGGAATTAAAACGGAGCCATTTCCCTAATGGCAGCTGCATTTACCAAAAGCTCCTTCAGTCTGCATGATACAGTTTGTAACTAAGTTGTTTCTGTTAGTTATTGGTTTATCTGAATTTCTGCACAATATTGGCAAACTAAAATGACTTTAAGATTTTGTTTAAAACTTTATATGCATTTTGCAGTAGTATACCACTGTAGCAATAGAGAAACTCTGTGGAAATTCCTTTGAGTTCTGAAGAATACTGTACTTTAACATAGTCATCCACCCATTTTCTAACCACTTCATCCAATTCAGGGACTGAGTCAGGGACTCAGGGTGCCAGAGCAAGCAAGGGGCACAAGTTGGCATATACAGGATGCCAAGCCATCACCGACTTTAACGTACAGTATATTAAAAACTGTATGTATTTAATATACATACAGTATATTAAAATTACAGATCACCCAGACGACATCCTGTACCTCCAGCAACCTCATTTGCTGTATCTCCTGCAAAAAATGTCCATGTATCTACACTGGGGAAACCGGAAGGAGACTCAGAGACCGCTTCAGAGAACATGTTAGGGCTGTGAAGATGAAAGATTTCTCCAAGCCCATAGTTTCTCATTTCACCTCAGACGGCCAAGATCACACTGATCTCTCTGTCTCTGTTCCCAAAGAAGGGTTTCTCAACTCCCATAGCAGAAAAACAACAGAAACGGAACTCATCCTGAAACTACGTTCACACCTTCCCCCTTCTCTCAATGACTGACTTATTCTCGTGTAATCTTCTCTATTCTTCACACCTTTCTTCGCCCCTCTCCACTTTGCACTTCATGAGTGGCCTCTCTGCCCCTCCTGCCTCCTCCCCTCTCCCAGCTTTTGTTCTTCTGTGCTATTTAATCTTTGCTGTTTGCCCTGTCTTTCTCACACCTGAAGAAAGCTTCACAGCCGTAAACGTTGTGTTTTCTCTCTTCTCTTTTCAGCATGGAATAAACCTATTTATTACTTGTTCCTTTGTATATTAAAAACTATTTTACAGAAGACTTTATTTCCCCACACATGGAAATACACCTAATATTGCCTGTTGTTAAAGCATCAGTCACTTCATGCTTGCTTTAAAATCACGTTGGTCTCCTAGTACATTATACATCTCTGAGCCAAATGGGGTTTCACCAATAATATCAGAAATCAAACAAATTAACAATCTATTGTAATGTAGTCTTCTCTTTTCAACACTAAAATAGTGCAGCTTGAATGAAATGGACTCATAAATAATCTGTTATGTGAATCCAAACAAAAGTAATATAAATATTCCAAGCCAAGACTCAAGTTTTAAATGTGTTTTGCATTACTTTTTGCATTGGAGATTAATAGACTTTTCCCAGGTGTTTGTTCTTTAACATACGGTTTTCATTTATACTTGCTTTGTCACGAAGTTGCCGTTTATTTTTTACACCCTTAGTTGCTGCAGTCAGCAATGCCTCAGTCACCAGCAACTGAGTAAAGTGGAATACAAACCGTTGAGAGGACGAGGGGGAACCCAGCGAGAGTGAGGTGAAAGATTTTTTTTAATCAGCTTTTGGATACTGTACACATCCGTATTTTGACATCTTGTGATTAAACTTTAGCATATCAAATGTTTATATCCGTTAAAAACTGGTGCATACGCTTGTCATCATCTGGGGAACTACCATTGCTTTAGTTTCGCATTCCTGTAAATCTACTTCGCTTTCCGGAACTGAAATACCTTCTTCCCGAGTTTCCAGTCGGAAGCCTCTGAGTGTAGTACTACATGTGCGCAGCCGCAGCTTTTTCTTTTGCGTTGTGCTGCTGGGACAGTTGCAGGGAAGCGAGTGCCGGTGGAGTGTTTACAATAAGGTGTACTTCTGGAAACATTAAGTTCGGTCATAAATTTGACTTGAAAGAGGTATTATCTTAACCCAAAGAGGAAAATTATGGCTACCGATTCCTGGGCCTTGGCTGTAGACGAACAAGAAGCTGCTGCAGAATCGGTAAGGTGGCAACTGGGTGTTTCTACTGTAAAAAAAGACTGGGCCTGGAAGGGATACAGGGGGAAAGGCTTTAGATATTTGGACACACAAAAGCGCTGTTGCCGGTGTCGTTATATGTATAGGAAAACATATTCTGACGTTTGTGGATAGTTGCAGATCTCTCCTTATCAGAGATGAGACTTTTTATGCCAAGCGACCCGGTCCAATCTCGACAGTCCTTTTAAAAGCGTAGCTCCACTCTCATTTCCCAAAGTTGCGTCTCATTGAAAACAAGCTTGAACTTTAGCTACACCTTACGTTGTGTTTTAGTGGATCACTGATACTTTCAGGAAAGTTCCCAGTTGCACTTTATTATCTAATTTATTCTCAGATTTCAGATTTTATGCAAATGCTGTATTGTGAAAGCTATCATTCCTATGTGCGGTTCTTGTGATGGATGTGCAGTGAACAACAGGAAACGAAACATTCGTTCTGTATTAGAAACAAATTATGCAGCTTCGAAATTCCTACGAGCACAGTCAGGTAATCCATTAGCCTGGCCGACTGTGTCTGAACCGTGCTTTTTGAGCAAGACGTACAATTCATTTAAATAGTTTTAAGACAGAGCAAAATAACAAAATAACATTAGCTGTCCGATTTTTTCCACTTTCCCAATTGTAACCCTAAAAAGAACTTAAGTATATCAAAGTGTATGAAAATTGAAGGGTGAGACATTTTGGGTTTCCTGAGTTAATTAGGTTAGGCGTGCGGTCCTGTACAATATACAGCTTGTCAGAAGGCTATGAGTTGATCCATTGCGTTTTGTGCTTTTCTTCTTCTGTCATAAACATGTCATCTCTGTTTGAAAGCTGCTCTCTGTGATATTGCCTGGCCCTGAGTGTTTGTGTTCTTTTTTTGGTTCTAATTACAGCTGGGTACCTTGCAAATCAAAGAGAAGGATGACAAACCCAAAACTGAGAAGCCCAGTGTTGAGGCAAATGGTAAGTGTTTTGAGACGGCAGAACAATACTTTTTCCTTCAAGTAATTGAAGTCTGTGCTGTGAAATATCTTTTAAATGGGACGGGAATTGAGCTGATTGTTTCAATATAAAATCTTTGTTTTGAAAAATCTGCTTTTATACGTTTTTCTCTTTTTTTATCAATACAGGCACTACAAAGCCAGAAGACAATGAATCAGACAAACCAGAAGATGAGGACAAAGGTGGGTCTCTACAGGAAACTTAACTTTAGACTGCATATTTTGTTTAAACTTTCCAGTCAGTGGCAGCTCGTTCAAATCTGCAGATTAAAAATCTGATGCATTACTTTAATAACCTATTATTCAAAATAGTTACAGTAACAAAAAAAGTATTTTGTAGTTAAGGGCTGCATCAACATTGATGTTTGTTTACCCCATCTCATACTAATAATGCTTTTATAACAGGGATTGAACTATGTGGTAAGGGTCATTAATACACTACTTAACCATCCATTTTCTAATCACTTCATCCAGTTCAGAGTCACAAGGGAGCTGGAGTCTGTCATGCAAGCAACAGGCGCAAGAGAGGGTACATCCTGGACAGGGCACACCCAGACACACTCACACACACTCACAGGGCCAGTTTTCCCAGGAGTCAGTTAACCTGCCAGTGTCTTGGGACTGTTGGAGGAAACTGGAGCCCCCAGAGGAAGCCCACACGAACATGGGGAGAACATACGAACTCCACACAGACAGCACCCCAGGTGAAGGAATTGAGCCCAGGGCAGCAATGCAAGCCACTGCACCACCGTGCCACTCTACACTACTTAGAGTACGCTTTTATTTTATTGCATCTTTAAAAGCATTGCAACTCATTTTAGCAAAGTGACGTGCCGCGATCCACGATATAGGTACATTGCAGCTTGTAACGGTTGTTTCAGTTTCGCAGGGGCTAGTTTTTTCCTCAGTTTTTCATAACTTGCAAAAGCACTTGAACTTCTAGTTCTGCTTCATTGTGGCTTAGGAAGTAGAAAGAAAGTAGTGTTTAGGGCCAGATTAAATCTGACGACGAGCATACTAGATTCAGAGCTATCGTGATGTTTATCATTTTATATAGTTTGGAAACTATATAAAATGGTATAGGGTGTACTATTACTAGTACTATTTGGCCAGCAGCCATATCACCCTGCAGCGCATAACTGTCAGCCCACTGAAGCTAAGCAGGTGTGAGCCATCATGCATGGGTCATCACAAGCATCTCACAAGCATCAAGTTTGATGCAAGCACCTGAGACTGCTTTCGTTAAGTAGACAAAAAGCATTAACTGGTTTATTTTTGGAAAATAAAATCCTGAAACTGATATGGGTTTCTTTGGAATTATATTTAATATGTTAGGTTGTCTTAGGTTTCTCCAATTAAAACGAATACAGTTAATTAAAATACACAATGTACAATTCATCAACAAACATAAAGAACAACACATCAACCTGTTGAAAGCATTGCAAACTGAGAATTCAGGGGATGGGAGGCATCTTGAATTATAATTTTAGCCATCCAAAACATGAGCGAGTTTTTGTAGAATTGTGACAGCTTTGAGAAGTGGTGCACTTTAGTCAAGTGCTTTTTAGCTTTGCTTGTCTGTAAGAGAGGCACTATGTTGAGAGTCTCTTCACAGCTCGGTAGGAGTAATAATCAATGTTTATTTTAAATGATTTCACGTATGAGGTTCTAAGTAACCCTGTTTCATTTTTGCAACCATTTACTGGAGTGACATTATCAGCAAGATTCAGACATATGTGCAGTTAGTACAACAAAACATTGTAGTTAGTTTTGTAGCATTGGTGCTGTGGAATTTAATTTTTTATCTGCAGTCACTTGTAAATAAGTTAGATTCTACAACTAAACAGGCAGGAGAATTCAGATTGCATACTGTCTAAACGTAAGTAATTTTATGGTTTGTATATATTAAAATATTTTGTCCTCTAATATTAGAGAAGTGAAGATGTTCTCTCCTTGTTCGTACCAGGTGTGTTAGTTTCATCCCATCTCTCAAACGAAAATGCTGAGGACACATGCTGATCTGTCCCTTTCTCCGTGACCCTGTTACAGACTGCTGTCCTGCTCAGAGCCTAAGCAGTCACAGGCTCCCAGTCTTGCCTTGAGTGCCTATGCCTATAGACTCTTTGTTGCCACAACTTACATCAGGATAAGAGGATTACTGACGATGGACAAGTGGATGTATTTAAGTCTAGTGCACATCGTTCTTGCTTTGATTGCATTCTACTTTTCTTTCATTTTTTAGATATCTGCTTCTTTTGCCCCTCTGCCTTGGCGTGTCCTTGGTGTACTAATCTGATTTTTTCTAGTTAGGTTTGTAAGACATAAAACTTCATTCTTATTTATTCTGCACCTTTCTTACTTTCTGAAAATTTAACTTATGTAGTTGTGATAGCTTTTCAATGCTGCAATTCTCTTTTTTTTACCCAGTGAAGGAACACATCCAAATCATATCCAGGATGTATTGCACAATACTTTTAAAACTTCAGTCCAGAAATCCAGTCCATGTTACTCTTATGTTTGTTTTAGAAGTGTTTTCCCCTTTCTGTGGTTTAAATGTGGATTCTCAGAGGTGATTGGTTTTCATGCGTTTACCCACCTCTCCAAAGGGGCACCATGGCACACTTTGAGATGAACAGAAGTTACTGAAACTGAAGTTCAGGTTGTTCATAACTGCAGCTCACTCAGCTTTTCTTAACGTTTGCGAATGAAAGAATCACCTTAAGTGTCAAAACGCTTTGCAAGATTTTTCGTTTCCTTTTCAGTTCATGTTTGGAGTGATAGTTCTCTGGTTCCATTCTGGTTTTGAAAAAATGAAATATCCTGAATACTTCAATACACATTATCAATGGCAGACACGGAACTATGTTGGTTTACTTTGGACATTTAGATTGAACTGACCAAATAGGTTTTGAACAGTTGCAGTTTGACATTTATTTTGCCATTTTGATGCCCTCGTTATAGGATTACAGTTCTTGGACAAATGCATCTATAACTGGGGTAACTGAGAACAGCAAAAGATTTTATCTGGTTTGCTATAGGTTCCTCTGAGCTCAGATGAAACTTAAAAAGCACCCTGTTTGTCTTTGAATCTAGCTGTGTTTTTTTATTTTCTGTTTCAGAGGACAGAGCTGCGCAGTCACTGCTGAATAAACTGATTCGCAGTAATCTGGTGAACACCACCAACCAAGTAGAGGTTCTTCAGAGAGATCCTAACTCCCCGCTGTATTCTGTCAAATCCTTTGAGGAGCTGAGACTGTAAGTCCATACCAGAACATAAGTGTTGTGTTTCAAACTTAATATAAAAACTGCATAATTGTTGTATGTGCTTTTGTCTTGTACACGGAATGCTGGGTAAAGTGGCATGGGGCTGCATCTTTTAGTTTGTTGTGGTAGTTGTACAGGAGGGCTGCTATCCTCTATCTAAGACTTCATTGAGTGGATATAGACACAAATGTACGTAAAAGAAAAACACAGGGAAATGCAAAAGGGAAAAACTGTGCTTCAGGTATTAATTACAAATGTGGATTTATGTTTCAGAACTCTCTTTTCTGATTCACGGGGAATTTCGGAAGGAATCCCTGCTTTTGTCCCCCCAGCCCCATCAGCCGATCAGCCCTGAGCAAGGTGCCAGGTGTTAGCAGCAGCTATTTTCTTTCCCAGCTGTGCACACCCGAAGAAGGCTCCACAGCCGAAATGTTGTGTTCTCTTTTCAGCTTGGAATAAATCTATTTCTTGTTCCTTTGCAGCATACGCATGCTGACGCAGCTACCCACCTGAACTACATTAACAAATGATGATCGGCTGTCAGGCACATATTGTGTTTAACAGTCTGTTATATCACAAGCGTATACAGTTACCGTATCACTTCAAGACAGCTCTTCACAACGGGCAGCTCTCACTCAACAGATGATCTAAGTACCAAATTCTAAGAGAGGTTTTCACCATATTCATGTCAGCAGTTCTGGCTAGCTAGGCCTTTTCTCATTTGTAACCATTCTTAAGTCTCGGTCAGAGGAGAGTTTTGAGGCCCATGGACTTGGGACAAAATGGTTTTTCTAGCATCAGAGGGGGCTGTGGTTACGACACAGAAGAACTGTTCTCTTCAGCACCTGTATGTAATGTTTACCAGTCTAGAGAATTGATCAGGATTAGATTGGTTCACTCTCCCGGAGTGTAAGTAGTCTTTGGGCACTGGAGCTGGGGTAACGCTGATTTATATGAACATTGATCCGAGCGTTTTGATGGCCTTTGCTATTGTATCACCAGCCTGTTTGAATGAGGGTGATGTGAAATGAACATAAGCACTTGACTCTGAATTGCTGCAAGACCTCTTTCCTTGACCGTGCTTTCTCCCCCAGAGGTTTTCCAGACAAAACTGCCCTTTATGCAGGCTTGTCACTGATCAGCTGCCCATGTCAGAGTCAGGGCGCGGGTGTGTTGAGCAGCTCTTGTCTGTCTCCCCAGGAAACCACAGTTGCTTCAGGGTGTGTACGCTATGGGTTTCAACAGACCTTCCAAAATCCAGGAGAATGCTTTACCCATGATGCTTGCAGAGCCGTGAGTAGAATTTCAATTAATGAAAACTGGAAAATGTTTTACTGAAATGTAGTCCTTGTCAAGTTGTGGAAAGGGATCCTTGTTTTCCTTCTGCATTCTCATGTACATTTTATTTGGGGAACCATGCATCGTCATTCCAAAACCATTAAGGTAATATCGGTGCCAACATTTGCAGTGTTGAGTAATTAAGCAGTCCCCGGAGTGGATAACTGTTCTGAAAAAGATTGCTTTGTGAATTCAAGGAAAAATGCCTTTAGAATCGTCAGAATGCGAAATGCAAAGACCTCAAAATTGTAAACAAGTGTGGAGGTTATATCGCTTAATATTGTATTTTAATATAGCTAAGACCTTCAGGATACAGTTAGCAGAGGAGAGGTCTATTCTTGTTTGGTGGAGAACAGCCTTTAATAAGATTGTATACAAATCGCCAAACAAGTCTAATTTACACTCGGCATTCAGTATGTTTGTCTGATTTTTTTCATTTTCGTGTGATTTGTTCTCAGGCCTCAGAATTTAATTGCGCAGTCACAGTCTGGCACAGGTAAAACAGCTGCCTTTGTGTTGGCCATGCTGAGTCATGTGGACCCTGCAAACAAGTGGCCACAGGTGAGTTGAATAAGTCATTGTTTGGATAGGCAGGGGCTCCATATTTTCTCTCTTCTGAATATATATACATAAAGAAATTTACTTAGAATTACATTTCTGTGGTGTCCTTGATACAAGTTTAGTTATTTTGTGATGTTTGGGTAAGGTTCTATGCTGATTTGAGTCAATGACAGAAAGTCGCTATACTTATGATAAAAAAAAAGCCTTAATTAAGTTTAATCGTTTAACTTCAGTTGTTTGTATTTCATATATGCAAGTCATTGAGGGCAGTATCTGAAGTTTTTAAAAAAGCTTCAAGATAGAAAACTGAAATATATTAGCTTCTGATCAAGCATTTGGCTCAAGCAAAATCCTAGTAATCCTGGTAATTTGCTTTAAAAATCATTTTGATGTTGACTTTGTTGTCTTTTCCCCCACCTCTTTCAGTGTTTGTGCGTTTCTCCAACATACGAGCTGGCTTTACAGACGGGGAAGGTGATTGAGCAGATGGGGCAGTTTTATCCTGAAGTAAAACTTGCTTACGCCATCCGTGGCAATAAATGTGAGTATCCTGTCTATTGAGCATTTTAGTTCAATTCCTTTTGTTTTCAGTCCTGTGTGTTGTCAGTTCAGTTTTGAACTCCTTGCTTTTTTAAAATTCTATTCCTAAAACAAACTGCACTCTCGGCGCAAACTCATCTTTCCTGTTTGTAGGTGAAAAATCTGGGTTACTTTATTAGCAGTTGACATGATTCCCCAAGCAGGTGGCACAGTGGTTAGCATTTTTGCCTCACATCACTGGAGCCCTGGATCAGTTCTGAGCCCAGGGTGCTGTCTGTGTGGAGTTTGTATGTTCTCCCTTTGATCGTGTGGGTTTACTCCGGTTTCCTCCCGCAGTCCAAAGACACACTGGTAGGTTAATTGGCATCTGGGAAAATTGGCCCTGGTGTGAGTGTGGGGGCATTTGCATCTACCCTGTGATGGACTGGCGTCCTGTCCAGGGTGTACCCTGCCTTGTGCCTGTTGCTTGCCTGGATAGCAACTCTCAATTGGATGAAGTGGTTAGAAAATGGATGGATGATTCCCCAAGCAGCGTAGCACAACTGCCAGGACACCAGACTGGCTGCGAGCCTGTCAGATTTTCACCAAGTTCTTCATTTCACTCTCCCTGTAGGTTGGCTGTGAGGCTTAAGCTTTATACCGATTCATACTATTTCTTTAACTAGGAATGCAGAAGAAAAATGCCAATCCCAAACTTAGAATAAAAGCGCCCATCTCTGTAGAAGAACACAAGTGATCTCTGTGAGTGTGTCTGTGTGTCTGCGTGCAGTGGAGAGGGGCATGAAGATCCAGGAGCAGATCGTGATCGGGACCCCGGGGACAGTGCTGGACTGGTGCGTCAAGCTCAAGTTCATCGACCCCAAGAAGATCAAAGTGTTCGTGCTGGACGAGGCCGACGTCATGATCGCAACGCAAGGCCACCAAGACCAGAGCATTCGCATTCAGAGGTGAGCTCCCCTTTGAGGAACGGAGAAAACTAGTGGCAGCTCATAATGAGGATACCGATATGAGCAATTTCGGCCAACGTTTTTGATTCTGAGGGAATCCAGGTAGATTATGAATGTACACAGAGTATCACAGAGTCTTTTACTATGGGTCTGCAGAATTGTGTAATATTACTGCTGAATCACTACAGTAGGACCTAGTGTTTGTCTTACCCAAAGACCAGAGTACAAGAAGATTAAATACAGTGCTGAGGGTAACACAAAATGTGTGA